GGGACTTGAGACAACACTACTGGTGGAGCGGCATGAAGAGAGATATTGCGGATTATGTATCGCGTTGCTTGAGTTGTCAGCAGGTTAAGGCCGAGCATTTTAGGACTGTTGACGAGCTTCAGAGATTCCCCATTCCTGAGTGGAAATGGGAGAGGATCACCATGGACTTCGTTGTAGGATTATCCCGCACTTGCCGTGGTCTTTATAGTATTTGGGTCATCGTGGATCGATTGACCAAGTCATCACACTTCATTCCTGTCCATACTTCCTACAGTGCTGAGAGGTTAGCCCGTATCTACATTCTAGAGGTGGTTCGTCTTCATGGTGTGCCTGTTTCCATCATCTCAGACCGGGGACCACAGTTCACATCTAGCTTCTGGAGGACCTTCCAGGATGAGTTTGGTACCCGTGTTGACCTTAGTACAACTTTCCACCCGCAGAATGATGGTCAGTCGGAGCACACGATTCAGGTTCTTGAGGACATGTTGCGGGCTTGTGTTATGGATTTTGGGGGTCAGTGGGACCAGTATTTGCCTTTGGCAGAGTTTGCGTACAACAACAGCTACCACTCGAGTATTCAGATGGCCCCATTCGAGGCCTTAAATGGTAGGCGTTGTCGCTCTCCAGTTGGTTGGTTTGAGTCTACAGCGCCCAGGCCGCACGGTACAGACTTGATGCGATAGGCTTTAGATCATGTGAGGGTGATTCAAGATAGGCTCAGGACAGCCCAGAGTAGACATCAGAGTTATGCAGACCGTAGGCGTCGACTGTTGAAATTTGTTGTTGGTGATAGAGTATTCCTCCGTGTGTCGCCCATGAAGGGTGTAATGAGATTTGGGAGGCGGGGCAAGCTTAGCCCCAGGTATATAGGTCCTTTTGGAATATTGAGGACAGTTGGAGAGGTCACATATGAGTTCGCTTTGCCCCCGGCCTTTTCAGCTATTCACCCAGTTTTTCATGTTTCGATGTTGCGCCGGTATGTTCCAGATGAGTCCTATGTGATTCAGTATTATGCAGTTGACTTGGATGACATTTTGAGATACATTGAGGAGCCAGTTGCTATTTTGGCCAGAGATGTCAGACGGTTGGGTTCTAGAGCCATTCCTGTGATTAAGGTCCATTGGAGACATCGTCCAGTTGAGGAGGCTACCTGGGAGACCGAGCATGAGATGCGGGCGTAGTTCCCCGACTTATTTGAGCCTTTAGGTACTTCTTGACTCTTACTTTTGCGGACGAAAGTTACTTTTAGTAGTGGATATTGTAATGACTCTCCAGGTCATTTTTAAATTAAAGCATTCATTCCATCATTTAGAGCGTTCCTGTAGCGACCCCAAGTCATTTATGACTTGCTGACACTGACTGTTCGGTCCCCTGGTCGTTCGTTTGGGTTTTAGGCACGTTAACCTGTTTTGGAGATTTTTCTAACTTGAAAAGTTGACTTCGGTCATAAATTCAGGTAAAAGACCTCAAAATAAAATTCTGACGATTCCATCAGCTCCGGAATGGCCAAATTTGGCTAGTAGCATGGTCAACACGAGTATCGAGGCAATCCGTACGAGTTTAGGGCCATTTGACATTTTCGCCCTTGCAATTTGGCCTATAGTTGACTTTGGTCAACCTTCTTGGAAGACGTGCTCAGATAAAAAATCTGACAGCTAGGTTAGCTTAGGAATATCGATTTTGGTCTAGAACGACCCTTTGTTGACTTCCCGAGACTTTAGATGCCCGTTGTGGAATCTGGCTCAAAACGATACTGGGTGTGGGACCCACTTTTCATCGATGCGATCTCCAATGGAAATTCTGAATTCACCGTTGAGTCCGAAACATCATTTCCAATCAGATTTCATATATGGATTGTGTTTTTACGACTCCGAACGAGTCCGGAACATCGAAATTTAAGTTTGAAGAGTTGTTGAATTCTAACGCGGTGGTGACGTGGCAGATCCAGGCGACGCCACGTGGCAGCGTTGTTGAAATCTGGAAATTTCCAGATTTAAGGACAATTTTCGTCCATTTTTTTCCTCATCTTCAAACATAGATATCTCCTCCATTTTAAGCTCAAATTAGGTGATTCAAAAGGCTAATTTCAAGAGAATTTCGTGGAGAATCTAGAGGTGAGCTCAGAAACGCGAGGGGAAGCTTAGTTTGAGGTAAGGAATCGAATTTAGCTACTGCTAGAGTGATTTTCGGAATGAAATTTTGTTAAACTTTGAAAGGTTAGATCTTGATCATCTTAGGTCCGTTTTGAGTCATTCTTGAGGCTCAATTGTAGAGTTTTCCACAAGGATCGTCGTGGTATAATCTGTTATGGTTGGAAGGGTCTCGTTTTTCCATAAATCGGTGATCAAGGGGCTGCCAAGTCGTAAGTCTAGACTTATTAATGATTTTAATTGTTGGGACTGATTTGCTATGTTTTAGGCTTCTTTTTGTGCTAAATTTTGGGGTATTAGTTTAGTAAAGTATTTGGGACGTTTTCACGGATTCGTTTTCCGGATTTCAATTGTGGGTCCCACAATCCCGTTTTAGACCCAATTTTGGGTCCGTCTCCGAAAAATATAATTGTAGTGTCAACATATTCGTAATGACGAGGTGATTAACCTTTTGATAGTGGGGAAGCATTTGGAGACCGTTCGGAGGGCAAAAGCTCCGGTACCATGAGTTGGAGCACGCGTGATCGGCTTTCAGGTAGGCTATGGTCTTCCCCTCATGAGATTGAGCATGTTTATGCAATTGTTTATTGATTTTCTTGAGTATGGAGGGGTTCGGGTGTCGAGCATGCTAAATTTCTATAATTCCTGCCTTAGACCTTATTTCGGGAAATTGTTGGATCATGACAACATGACTCTTGATTTTATTGAACATCCATACCTTGTGGTGTATATGATAATATTGATTTGAAGTATGTTTGGCCTTAGTCTCAGCTTAGACAAGTGTTGCCATAGACTTGCGAGGTTTTGGATGTCGTTGAGCAGTACAACTTTTTCCGACGTCATTTCGGACGGTCAGCTCCTTGTAGACTGATATAGCAGACTTGAGTCTGATAGTCTAAGCCTTAGCTAGGCGGTAACTCAGCTTACCTGTGATATGATTTTGGCTACAGTACCCGGTTAGAGT